AACAAAGAAAATCCTTTGTCAATTCTTTCAAGTACGTTTGAGTAGTCTTTAAAACCTGTTTTCCTAGAAGCCCTCTGTGTCTTCAGACATTGGCCTTGACCCCCTACTTTGTGATAGCAGTTTGGTCATTCCTATTGCCATTAATTAATTTCCAAAAGACACGTCAGTTATCATCCTCCCCTTCCTCTGGTATTTTCCTACTTGCTTCAACAGCACATGTATTTAATTGGATAGAGTTCTCAACAACCTATGCTACTTTTCTGGCAATTAAAAAGTCAAAATGTAAAACAACGAAATCATTTCATTAATGCTACCTCCTGGCAGCAAATCATAGTTGACAGTGACTGCATTCTTCAGCTCTTCTGGAGAGATAGAGCAATAGCACAGGAGGTATAAACCCAAGCCTTATTAAAAGGAATTTTAAGAAAAGAGAAAATATAAGAAATCACAATTTTGAGTATCAAAATGCAAGTGTTCAATGTTGAAGAAGATAAATTACAAAGCTGTGCATATCACCATAAACCATCACTAATAACTTGTTAAAAAGATCAAGATCCAAAAGAAAAGGCAGTGCTCTAGAAAGACCACAAGATGACACTATTCTCCTACAAATGGAAAATTATCTGCTCATAATCATATGGATCACACAAGAAGTATTATGGATCATAAAAACATTAGCTTCATGCAGTGGTGAAATTCATTTTTTTTTTACTACCAGTTCGGTGGGCATGGCTTGGTGGGTGTGACAAGGGAAGGATACTGCAAAATCCTCATTCCCTCCCCACTGTGGAGCCAGTCAGAGGTGGCATTTGCTGGTTCTCCGAACTACTCAACATTTCTCCTACCGGTTCTCCAGAACCTGTCAGAACTTGCTGAATTTCATCCCTGACTTCACGTACATAACTTGAGATATGCACGACGTCTGGCCTCAAACATCATATTTCATCATTTGTGTACAGAGCCAGAGACTTTAAGACTCAGCATAACACAGCAAAGGAATCATAAACCTAATGCTAATTCTTGGCTAAACATGTGATTTGTTTCTACAGAAATAGCAACTACCTGAAGTGTATTTTTTCTTGCTTCAATTCCCTGGACCTTCACAGCTTCTTGGGGTGCCACATGTTATTCAGAGTCTGCAGGAGAGATGGAGAATCCCACCATTTGCAAGTGGGGTCCACAGACGTTTGCCAAGTTCTAGCCTGAGTTTCAAAAGGACCAAATCTCTTTTATCTCCAGAGGGCACAGCTTTGACTTTTTTCACCCAAAGTGATGGGGACTATAAACCTGAAGCTTTATGGAGTGGCAACCTACATTCACAACTGCTCTGTTGGCCTCTTCCATGGAGCTGCCCCATAACAAAGCAATACAGAGCCATAATCACTTATTATAAAATTAAGTGAAATAGGTTAATGCCGGGTTGGCAAACCTATGGCATGTGTGCCACAGGTGGCATGTGGAGCTATTTGTCAGGGCACACAAGGCATTGCCCTGTCAGCTGGTCAGCGCCCATGCGCGCGCTGGCCAGCTGACTTTAACCTTTTTTTGAGGCCATTTTTCGCTCTCCCCAGGCTCCAGAGGCTTTATAGGAGCCTGGGGAGGGCGAAAACAGCCCCCCCCCCCCCGAAGGCCCTCCAAAGGTTTCAGGAGCTTCCCTGAAGCCTCCGGAGTGCAAAAAATGGTCCTACGGGCAAACTGGAAGTTTGGGAACGGACTTTCGGTTTGCTTGTAGGGCCGGTTTAAGCCCTCTGGAGCCTTCAGGGGCCGGCTTCCCTGAAGGCTTTGGAGGGCTTAAATCAGCCATATGAGCAAACCGGAAGTCCGTTCCTGAACTTCCGGTTTGCCCATAGCGCCGTTTTTTTGCGCTCTGGAAGCTTCAGGAATGCTCCTGAAGCCTCCGGGGGGCGGGGGAGTCTGTTTTCGTCCTTCCCAGGCTCCTATAAAGCCTCTGGAGCCTGGGGAGGGTGAAAAAAGCATTGCAAAAAATGGGGGAAGCACCTGTCATGCACACATGCGTGCTGGAGGGGGGTGTCACGCATTGCATTATGGGTGTGGCACATCTGTGCATGACCCCCTGCGCTTCCCCCACATATGGCACACGAGCCAAAAAAGGTTCGCCATCGCTGGGTTAATGTATTGTTTTAATATTTGTTATAATTTCCAGTATTAGTTTAAGAACACAGCGATGTTATTTGTAGGGTTATCCAATGTAGTAGAATCCCTGCTACGCACACGGCAGAAAAGTGATGGCAGTAAGTGATAAAAAATGAAGTATACTAACCTAAATTTAAGTATGAAAATGAACCAGTACATTTCCATTCCCCATCTTGAGCAGGGAGGCTCTCATCTGTACTCTGTGGGATCCATCCACCAAAAATGTACATTCTACAAATATAAGAACATTGAGAGTGAAGACAAGAACAAAGTGGGGGAGGATATATAAGCACAATTTCCAAGCTTCATTTCATCTTACAAATTATACAGAAACTACTAGTTCCTAACTAAAACTTGATCTTACCCCCCTTTCCCATTTCTCCACTCCTCTCAAGCCATACACTCAGAGAAATGAAGAATCAATCATGTTTTTGCTTACTGGATTTTATAGATTATATTAATACAAAACTGATTATTAAAGTTGCTTTAGAAGCTGCATTAAAATAATGCATTATTAATTTATTTGTGTGATGTCTTAGTTTTGAAAGGATAGAACAATTTCAATTGGCTTTATAAATTGCATTAGTCTATGGTTTATTCAGTCATGATTTACTGAAATTATGAATATGTTGAACCATAAAGCAATGACTTATGCCTCTGTTGGCTTAAAGCAAACATCACATTGTACCTTAGCATGATGGGTGAACCTACATTGTGCCATATACATGAATTACTACAAAACATATTAAAACATCATAGTATTGGGACAGCAGATTATCACAAGTTATACTGGGCTAACTGAAAGAGGACTCAACTTCTTTCAATTAAGCTTTTCAAATCTTGAAATGACTGTGTTTCATTCAGAATTTTATGGAGAGGGAGGTCCTAATACTATTTTCCCCTTATTTTTTAATCTTTTTTTTTCCAAACAGATTTTTTTTTAAAGAATGCAGAATTACAACATGCCTTCTGAATGGTGGTACAAACTGTTTTCAAATCTGATCATCTCTAGCAACAAGCCAATCTTAAAACAACTAGGCCATACTAGTGAAGAACATGATAATGTAGAGATAATTTCCCTTACGAGGCAGCTGAAGTCCATAGTCCACTATCTTTATTTGTGACACAGTAGAGAGTCAAGATGGTGGACTGGTTAAAAGCATGAGACGTGAAACTGAATTCTAGTCCTTCTTAAGTACAAAGCCAGCTATGGAACTTTGGGCTAGTCACTCCCTTTCAGCCCTAAGGAAGGAGGCAAGAGCAAACCACATTCAAACATGTTGTCAAGAAAACTGCAGAAACTTGTCTAGGCAACTGGCTGGAGTCAAGGAGGATTTGGAGGTCCACATAAACATCATGGCAAGCAATCCCAGTATCCGTCATCATCTATTACTAAACCTAATCATTGATACATTAGATCATTAGATACACTCCCCCGTGGCACAATTATACACATGTAATGTCAACATTATACAGTGCATATTTAATTTGAACAATGTTCTTCAGTTATGTGTGGGTGACACGAAGGGACTATATCCAACAAATGGTTATGGATCGCTTTTTCATTCTGCAAATCAAAGGAAACATAAAAAGGATGGGAGGCCGTTTGATTCTGTAGCAATATAATTTGTTTGGGACTTTCATATAAGAAGATAATATTCATGCAATGCCAAAATGAAGATTGGGGGAGCTCAAAGAACACATGGCAGCTGTTGCCAGGGTGGTTTTATGCAGACTCATCTAATATTCCAGTTCTACCCATTCCTGAGCCTAGAAGCCTTGCTCACGGTGACCCACCCATTAGTCACCTCGTTTGGATTACTGTAACTTATTCTAGATGGGGCTACTCTTGAAGAACATTCAGAAACTGAAACTGGTCCAGAACGTAGGCAGTTTTTGGTATTTCTCATTATGCCCCTCTAAATACTATTGCTCTACAAGTGGCATTGGCTCTAGATTTCTGGGTACGATTCAAGTTGCTGGTTGTTATCTATAAAGCTCTCACAGCGTAGGGCCAGCTTCTTGAGGGATCATCTTTCTCCCTTTGCCTCTGTTTGTCCCACCAGATCTACTAGAGAGGGCATGCTCCAACAGGGGCCTTCTATCAAACAATGTCATCTTGTTGGATGCCTTCTCAAGGACAGTACTTGCTCTGTGGAATAGCATCCCGCTGGAGTAATGTTTCTCAACCTTAAGACATCTGGACTTCAACTCCCAGAATTCCCCAGCCAACATGGAGGTCGGCAACCTCAGCAACTTTTAAGATGGGTGGACTTCAACTCCCAGAATTCCCCAGCCAACATGGAGAATTCTGAGACTGTCCAAAGACCTTAAAGTTGCCAAGGTTGAAAAACACTGATGTAGAGATTTAAATGGATCCAACCCATCTTTCATAAGGCATTGAAGTTTCCCCAAGCTGTTTCCCAAAGCATTTGAGTCAGATGAATGGGTGACTTCTGTTGTTATTGACAAGGATTTTTTTTGAGGGGGGGGGTGGATTACTGTCTTTTTTTGGCCATTGGGGGTTATATGAGGTGAATTTTCTGCATTTTAATCTTTGTAAGATGCCCAGAGTCACTTGAGCGAGATAGGCAACTACTGTATATCATCTCCTTTTAATGACCCCATAATCCCTTGCAGGGTGGAGTCTGGGCAACTGAAAGGAGCTGAGCATTTACTGGCCAGATGCCCTTCCTGTCGCCAATGCGGAGTTATATTCTCAGTGTGCCTGGAGAGAGAAATATCTGCCCCTACCTAGGATCAAACTCACAGCTTCCTGACTGTAAGGCGAGAGCTCCACCTCTAGGCCACGGCACCACTCAAGAGGCAACTACTGTATTTAAATAAAATAAATAAATAAAGTGCATTATGTAGGGTTATTTTCTTTACAGAAGACACACGTTTGGTGTCCAGTGCTTATAGTGGTGGAATTCAGAGGCAAATCAGATTTCAAAGTCAGATTTCTAGCAACAATTGATGCACACTGACTGTAGGGAAACAAATATTCTATCATGTTTCTGAGTTCCTCTGAATTTTATATACAAATGGATCATCACATTAGCAGGGGTGGTATGGAGATCACATGACTCCAACTTAAATGGAAATGTAATGCCCCAAAAATGTATCTTGAGGAATAAGGTTAGATAGACACCAGAATATATGCTATAATGTACAGCTGCAATTTTCAATGAAATAATAGGGCTGGAACACACATAAGTTATAAAAAAGCAGCATTACCAATGATAGCAATCAACTACAAATTATGAATATGAATAATCCTGCAACATCTTAAACAAACTATATGGATTGGTTACAGTATTATACTGCAACGTCTAGAAATATGACATTAGCATTACTCTTATGCCACTTCATGCTATAAAGTATTTTCTCCTCCTAACGCACCAACATATAATAATATATCAATGCATAAGTAAGCGTTTCCTGTTTTCAAAGCTCTTTGTCTTTTTCTTCTCCTTTCTAAAAGATGTAATGGGCTTTCTAATTAAATTTGAAGTCATGCGCAGAGGATTATATGTCCCCAAATAAAAAACATATGTTGCTTAAGAACTCCATTTTGGTTTCCTCGGGGCCTATTGTTAGCTCCCCTAATCTGCAGGCAGTGTTTCTCACAGGGCTGAAGCTCACTACATTCCACATTACAAGCAGGATCCCTAAATACAAACACTAGAGTAATGGTCTCCTACTAGGTGTACCTTTCTATAGGTGAGCTTTTAACAACAGACATACTTGTTTCCTATTACACTGGCTGTATGGAGACTACGGGGAAGTGGCACTGTCCCTTTAGTTTCTGGTTTCGACCAAGTCATTGTCTCTATTAAGGGAAAAAACAGAGAAAGCATATAGAAGGGATTATTTATTTATAACATTTATACAGCCATCCATGTTCTAACCAACTCTAGCTGGCTCCCAATAAAAAAAAAATTATGAACATTTTATTACTCCATGAACATTTATGTAAGACACACTTGTAACATATTGTTTTTCAGACTTCAGGAAATTTGTCATGCATAGAGATGCTAGGGTTGGTGGTGTATTTTTGAAAAGTATATTGGTAGGCACCTAAAGTTAGTGACAACATACAGGAAGGTGGTATTTTAAATGGTGGAACACTTATTTTTCAGTGCCATATACTATGAAAATTGGTAATCTCCCTTAGACTTTTCAGAATCCAAATTCCAAATATAAAGTTTTATGCAAGATTACAGACAAGCAAAATAAAAAGGGAAATTGCCATTGTTAGTTTTACACTTGCATTTCATCCCTCAAATAATATCTTTTGAGTTATGGAAATTGAACTTTTATTATCACATGTGTACAGTATTATTCACCTTCAATTCTAGAGTCTGTGGTATCCTACAATTATTATTGCATTTGCAAAACAAGTGTTAAAAGGACAAAGCCATCTCTCAAAAGAAGTCATTAGTCTTGTTTTGACTAGTTTCTATTTTGTTTTTAAATAATTACTCAAAGAAATAATATTTTGAAATTCTTTTTAAAAATGACAGCTTAAAAATACTTGTCGTGTTAGCAGTATTAAAACATAATGCAACAAATAGATTTTTTTGAAAATCTAATTTTGATGAAACTTAGAAATGGCTACATTCCATTAAGTCAAACTGCTTATTTTGCTGTGTACTGTAATAGCATTCAGATAGAGCTGAAGTTTAAGAATAAATTTACAAGGTGATGCAAACTTTCCCATTGCACAACAAATCCTTCCGAATTAATTATTCCTTAGTGTATTTTTTTTAAAATAACTCATACAACTTTACTTGCAGTTGTACTCACCTATATCAAGCTCCCAAAGGTCATTCAGCCGGCAACCAGACATTCCTCCAAACATAAACATTTTTGGATTTCCCAAGTCTTTTTTACAGTATATAACAGCTGTGTGGGATTCTCTGGGAGACGGCAAAACTCCCCTGGTCAATGGAACGCTCCAGCCTATGACTCCTGATCCATGCTGTAGCTCCAATTCATAGAAATCGTTTAAATATCTAAGGTGGGTTATAAATACACCAATAACTTTCTATGGCACTACCATAAAGAAATTTCAACCTGTAAATGCAATCTCCGAGTTTTTATTACAATGCCTTTTTTTTTTTGCAAGGATACAGTATATTAAATGTTTGTTTAAAAAAAAAAAAAACAGATTTCTAAAAGAAAAAAAAACCAGAGGAATTTTCTTCGCCTGGAGATTTGTCAAAACTACCTTATGTCTTCCAGGGGCATTTTAAAACTTTCCCCCCCACAATGCCAATTTTAAAACGGATGGGGTGGAGCCCCAACTTTTAGATTAGTATAACTGTAGGCTAAATAACGAAACAAACTGAAATATGTACAGACACTGCAACTTAAGGTGCTAAAGCAAAATTAGCTCTGATCAATTAATGAAAACCATTAAACCATACATCACTATACGTTTCAGATAAACTTAATGTAAACTGCTCCAAATGCTACTAGCAAGCATGTTTTTGCTGTTATTTTCAAGCATCGAGCTTCATATTTCTGGATATAAGAATGATCAGTTTGACAGTTCATTGCCAATCTTCCTCTTTGATATTAGTAATTATGAAAAGATTTGAATACTAAATAGGCTCACTATCTACATTCTAACTGATTTTACCGTATAGCTCAGTGATGGCAAACCTTTTTCTTATGGCATGTGAAAATTGTGTGTGCATGTGGCCACACAAATTCGATCTTCCCTGCCTAACTGCCATGCATGCATAGACGCGTGCACACACACCCTCGCATACACCTACTATCCCTCCCCAGGCTCTGGAGGCTTTCCTGGAGTCTGGGGAGTGCGAAAACGGCCTCTCTTGGCCCGCAGGAAGCCGGAAACAGATAATTTCTGAACTTCTGGTTGGCCTGATGGGGCCATTTTTCGCCCTTCCCAGGCTTCAGGAAGACCTCCAGCCCGAACAGGCCCGAAAGCCTGTTCGAAAGCCCTCCGGAAGGGCGAAAATCAGCTGGCCGCCACGCAGCTGACGTGCCAGAAGATATGGCTCCCCGTGCCACTTGTGGCACATGCCATAGGCTCGCCATCACAGGTACAGCTGATTAAAAGTGAGAAAACCTAAACAAATCATACTAAATATTTTGTTCCAAACTCATCCACATACCTTGGAATGTTATTGTTTGAGTCTTCACTCTCATTTGCCAGTCCACCAAATAAGTAACACTTGTTGCCATATAGACAGAAGCTATGGCCAAGGCGAGGGCATGGAGGCAAACCTGCTGAAGGGGGCTGGGGTCTCATTTTCTTCCACAGCCATCGACTTGCCTTGTGGATGGAAAAAGAGCATGTTGAGAAATGCAAGCAAACTTGTTTAGAAAATTACTACTATTGTGGCTGCCAGACACCAAACTCTCATCCAAGTAAGCAAGCACTGCTCTTCAATCAATTAATTTTCTAAAAATGCCTCTAGAAACTACGTGAGGACCAGAAGCATTAATGGAAATAAAGGTTGTGTTGGAGCTGGTTCTTTCATTCCAGCATGCTAGCTTTCATAATGTTTTTTTTTAAAGTATGGTACCATACTTTACTTTTTTTTAAGTACTAGTAGTCACCAAAGAATGTGTTGGAAAGTACATTGTTATCTACAGATGCCATTCCAGGATCCATAAGATAAGGATTTGCTTTATTTTACCTTCCAGAAGTCAGAATTCTATCTGGCAAAAGTTTCAAAGGAAATCCCAAATCAGCCTGATATTATGGGTAGTTATGTCCTTGCAATCTTCTTAGCAAGGTTTTACAGAAATGGTTTATTATTGCCTCTTTCCTAGGGCCGAGAGAGAATGAAAGCCCAGTTGGCTTTGCAGTTAAGGCAGGACTCATGGTTTCCTTTTTCCATCCTGGTGTCTTAACCATTAATATAAAGTTATATATAGTTATATATAGTTATATATAGTTATATATATATATAT